TCACGTATTTCGGCCTCTCTCTTCTTATTGCGGCAAATACGTCTCGCGTCCTTCTTCAGTTTGAAAAAAAAAGAATGGGACATGAATGACCTTTTTTGCACAGAAGTAAAAAGAGTGGGAAAATACCTTTCTACTGAGACCAAATAAGTCTAAATCAGAATAGTTTTGCCCAGTTATTCAAGTTTTTCGTAAATCAATCTTTGAAAAAATTAAAAAAAACCATCAAAAATCGTATTATTCCGATTCCGTTGAAAAGATTTTTAAATATTTTGATGCAGATTTTTTAAACTTAACCTGTTTTGTCATCTGAGGGGATTTTTTACAAAAAATGTCTTTAAGAAACTATTTTCATTCATAACAAACTCCATTTCTGGAGGTATTTTCGAATCGGTTCAGCTCACGTAAATCTTAATATTTTTCCAAAATATTTTGGTAGACGTTCTCAAATATAATAGATTTTGTAATTCCGGCGGAAAACCGCCACTTTTTTGGCAATGCAGTCTAATGTACATATAAGCGCTATTATATTATTATTATTATTATTAAGCTTGAAGAATTATTATCACGTTTTGAGACGAAAAACAGTATAAACTCATTAGCTTTCAACTCCTTCTAAAACAAAGAGCATTCACCGTTTAAAAGTATGTAATCCAAACGTTTTATGAAAATGGTTGTTCTGCGAGAAGTGGACTTGGAGCATTGCGAAATTTTTTCGGTCAACAAAACCGGCCATCTGTGTCACCAATCAACCCCTTTGTGCCGTGCAAAAATTCGAAAGAACTGACAACACACGAGCGTTTTCATAGAGGTCGTTCGGCCAAAAATATTGCTGCTTTGGAGCAGTTAGATGACATGGATTTGCACAATACCTGGTTTCAACTGTACGAGATCGCTTACCACACAGCGCATGAACCAATGGCCCTATTGCTAACGAATTTTCCAGGGCGCATTATCTAACGAAACAACGAGGTTACATTTCCGGCGAGATCTTGCGATTTGACACCATTGGATTTCTACGTAAAAAGTCGATGCCAATAAACCCGAGACGATTTCACATCTTATTTAGAAACGAAATTACACGCGTTATAAATTATATACAGGCCGAACTTTCTCAAAAGGTCATGGACAGTTTCGTTTTGCGCATCCTATGCTTCCAGATGTCGTGGTAAGTATTTAGCGAATATTGTGTTTCATACATGAAAACTATAGACCAAGAAACATGATGAAATAAAAAAAAAATATTTCCGCACATTTCCGTTTTATTAATAAAAGAAAATTTGCGGTTTTATTAAATCACCCTGTGTTTCAAGTAACGTTATCAACCTAAACCAAACTTAAAATCAATACACTGCAAACCAAAGAATCGACTATTCGATAAATAAATAGCGATCATTGTAGATAGCTCGAGTACCTTTATAGAAGACTAACTTTTCCCCAGTTTTTTGCAAATTAAATTAGGTAAATAAAAAAATAAAACTTTGAATGGCCTTTTAAAAGTAAATAATTTTCATGAAATACGTCGAACCCGTCCGTTGTTGAGCAACAATTTTTCCCCCATGGCAATTCCTTTCAGAAATTGAGTTACAGACGTTATTCCATACAATTACGAGCATTAAATCTGGCAGTGACTGCCATCGGGCTTCAAATACGATTAAAATATTGTATCTCCACTCCAACTAAAGGAAATTTTTTTAAGGCATAGCTAAAGTTCTGAACACATTGAAAACGACGAGCTACGGGCCACAGCTTGCAATATTCTATATTCATTATCTAAACGTTTTGTCGATGACGACATATGAGTTTGACATAAAAGCCACAGCCACAGTTGTCGCGTAGCCCGGTCGTCGCCAAAATAATTATCTACATAATTTAGCAGCTGTGGTCAGCAGCTTGTCGTTTTCATTGTGTTCGGGCTATAAATTTTCGGTCTGAAAATTGTTTGTATTCGTATTTAGAAAAAGAAGACTTCATATTAAATCATATGATTTTATAACAGAACACATAATTTTTTATAGCAATTATTTAAATATATTTACGCCGAAAATTACTTCTTGGATAATTAAATATTTGCATGTACATACGCTACATTTATATTTAAAATCAATCGATACATTAATTATTGTGTCTCAAGTTTATCATTTGTCCTTTCATTTAGGAGCAGGTCCTCCAATTTTAGCTTCTCTCAACGACTTTACCAATCCAAGGCGAAAAAATAATTAAATTCAGAATTTTCTAACAAGCTGAGTATTCAATTGCTTTTTCACAATTTTACGCTGCCTAGATTGGCTGTTGAGATTGCTTGAAGCACACTTATGAGCGTGGTCTCCCAGTAGTCTGTTCAACTAGTTGGAGAAGTAGATCTCCTATTTGGAGACGTAGCTGTGTTAGCTGTTGACGTAGGTCTCCTAATTGAAGGCGTAGGTCATTTAGTTGGGAGGCTACAGGTCTCCTAGTTGGGCGCGTAGGTCGCCTAGTCGGGCGCGTAGGTCTCCTGGTTCGCCGTGCAGGTGTCGTAGTTTCCGGTGTAGGCGGTGTGGGCTCTGTTGGTTCTGTAGGCTCAGTAGGCGGTGTAGGCTCTGCAGGCGGTGTAGGCTCTGTAGGTGGTGTAGGCTCTGTAGGCGGTGTTGGCTCTGTAAGCTCTGTAGGCTCTGTAGGCGGTGTAGGCTCTGCAGGCGGTGTAGGCTCTGTAGGCGGTGTTGGCTCTGTAGGCAGTATTGGGTCAACAGTAACATCTGGCTGAGCTTGAGTCATAGCTATAGTCATTAAAAGCACAGCTCCAAAAACTGGAAATCAACAAGTTAGTAGGAAAAATATATATGTACCACAACTTAAGGACTTACGGAGTACAAAGAAATTCCTGGGCCACATGTTTCGATGCTTTGATGATTTCGAGTTTGAGAACGGAAAACAACTGATAGTCATACAACAGCGCATATGGACTTTTATAGTTGAATAGACATCAAGAAACAAGTGATCTTCAGATAACACTTGCGTTTTTTTTTTTTTAATTTTTTAAAATTGTAACAATACCTTTAAGAGAAAAGACTGTCTGGATTGCGTTTATTCATAGTTTAATTGACAGCGAGACTACAAAAGTTATTTTAAACTTTGCATCGAATAAAACACGATTAAAACATCGAGTCTACTTAAACTATTTAGCTTCGAAATAAGGGTATATACACACATATAATGCACACGTACGTGCGTAAAATAGTCACGTAAGCAACAGATATTTTCGAAAAAAAAGAAAGTTTTTTTTTAAAAAGCTAAAAGCACTGTATCAGATCAATCCAGAACTGTATATTCCATAACACTTCGAGAAGTTTAATCATTGAAACACCATTTCAAGGTAGGTTGGTATTGAAAATGAGCGAAATCGGACTGCAACCACGCCCAGTTCCCATATAAAAAAAAAAAAGCAAAAAACTACTATATTTCAGTATATATTGGATGAAAATTGTTGAAAATTAGTATGTGAAGTAGAATTTTGTTAAAAATATTTTTATTATGAATTTTATGGAAAATGGTCGCGACCCCGCCCACTTATGACGAAATTCTGTATCTCAGTAGCCACTTCACAAATCCTTGCCCAACTCGGTGCGAACCTTTTCTTGAGTCTAGCTAAGAAATCTGTTAAAAATCTTTGAAATCGGGCAATAACCACGCCCACCTACCGTATAACGGTAATTTAGAGAAAAACGAAAATGCGATAAATCAGTAATTATTGAAGCTAATTCACTCAAAATCTAATATTGCAATAACCACTTAGCAAAAAAATATATTATTATAAATCTGTGGATAATGGGCGTGGCCCCACCCCCTTATGACCACAAATGCGTATCTCGGTAACCGATTTACCGATTTCTACCTAATATCCATAGTACGGAAAAGCAATTCGTAGAACATTTTTAAAATCGGACTAAAATTACACCCACTTCCGATAAAACAGTACATTTTAGAAATACGAAAACTCAGATGACTTTCTTAAGACAGTTGTCTATTCTGGCAACTATCTTAAAAGCTCTTTACTGTCTTTAAATTAAAAAAAAAATTTAAATAAAAAAATAAAGCAAAAATAAGCAAATAAATGGTGTTAAAAACTAAATTAAATTCAAATAAAATTGTTTTCTTCATAATTAATTTAAAAGGAAAAAAAAATCCTAAAAAAAAATAGAGTTCCTCCGCCCGAGACTCAAACTCGTGATCCTCCGAACGGCACGACTATGCTCTGCTCACTCGGCCATTGCCACTGTTGGAGCGACGCACACTGGGGCCAAGCGTGCTCAAAATTCAATTAAAAAAAATGGTTTCTTGGAAAAATAAAAACACAGGTTTATTCCCCCACAATCTACATTGGTGATAAGTTTTCAGCTTTCTATCGTTTTTCAGCTGGGACATATGCGTGTCCAAACTAGGCAAATTTGAACAAAAAACTTTTTTTTCAAAACTGAGCAATTCAAATGTGCAATTCAAACTGTTACTGTAAGAAAGCGGTATTATATTTCTTTATTTTGTTTTTTTTCCATTACTTAGAATGAAGATTATTTATTCTTTTGGTAAATTTTGCTTCAAAAATATTATGTTTAAACAAGTACGAAAGTCTAAGTTCGGGCGGAGCCGAACATTAAATACCCGGCGCAAGTATTAAATATATGTTTTTTCACCTTTCCGAAAGCTACCGCTAGATGGTAAGCCGGGCTGTATCAATTTTGATTAAATTAGCGTCCTTACATTTCGAAATATTCCAGTTTCAAGCATTTCTGAAATTTACCGTTATATGAAAAGCGGCCGTAATTTTAGTCCGATTTCAATAATTTTCGACATTTTGCTTTTATGTGGCAAGGACAATAAAACTACCGAGTTTGGTACAAATTGGTATAACGGTTACCGATATACATGTATGTGATCATAAGTGGGCGGTGCCACACCGATTTTCCAAAATTTTATCATAAACATATTTCTTGATAAATAATTGTTGCAAGCATCAATTTTGAATAAATTAGCTTTAATATTTACTGATTTATCGAAGATTTTGTATTTCTCTAAATTACCGTTATATGGGTTGTGGGCGTGGTTATTGTCCGATTTTAAAAATTTTCAGCCATTTGGTATGCTGTACCAAGGCCAACAACTTTGCCAAGTTTGGAAGAAATTGGTGCAGCGGTTACCAAGATATACACATGTTACCGTAAGTGGGCGAGGCTTCGCCCATTTTCCAAAAATTTATAATATTATTATTCTTCGTCTGAAAATTATTGTTAATATCAATTTTGAGTGAATTATCTTCAGTAGTTACTAAAATATCGTAGTTTTCGTATTTCTGGAAATTACCGTTATATGGGAAGTGGGCGTGGTTACTGTCCGATTTCGCCCATTTTCAACACCAACCTACCTTGGATTAACGGAAGCCTACATACCATACATATCGTTGAGATATCTCAATTTTTGCTCGAGTTATCGTGTACACGGACGGACGGACAGACAGACATGGCTTAATCGACTTCTCTATTCATTCTGAGCATTTATGTATATATCTCGATTCGTTTTGGCTGCTACAAACAACCGCTATGTGAACAAAATTAATACACCCTTGTGCACAACTAAACTAACCTGTCTTTTTTTTTTTTAAATGCGCAAAGCGCTTTCAAATTTGACAGTACTGCTACTTCAAACTTGCACTTTAATGCACTATGATTAAATGGGTTACGAAACTGCATTCTCAACATCCTTTTAATAGCGCTTATCATAATTATAAGGCACCCACTTATTGAAAAGTTTTGACTATTTATTTTATTTTTATTTTATCTTAAATAAATAAAAATATAGCTTTTTTTAATTAATTAATGCTTTTAGTTAGATACATTACTTGCTTTTTGATATTTTGTATGCTTAATTTGTAAATCTATTTAAATTTAAAACATGATGGGGCATACTCATAGTCGAATCAAAGTCGAAACTAAAAATAATTTCGACTTTTTTGATACATTTTTCTAAAAAAGTGTTTTCAGAGAGCTGAAATTATTTTTACTTTCAACCTTGTTTTGACCATGCATTTATCCCATTATGTTTAACATTGAAACGTAAATTTTTGTATCTAGTATTTCCTATCTTTTACTATCTAACTGATCTTTATATAAAAGACTTCACCTGTTTCATGCTCTTTCGAAGAGATTACAACAAATACACACATTGCAACCGTTATTACATTTTATCGCTTTTAACTTTGTTCTAAGTATTGCGAATTCATTGATAAAGCTATCCTCAAATCTAAAGGACTTGTTCTTCCTGAATATATTGTAACCTAAACTTACCTATTTTTAATAAAGTTAGCTGCGGAAAGACTATAAAAAATTGGTCACTAGTGGGTTAAAATATGCTCATCAATGCG